ATATTTAACATAACTATATTTTAAATAGTTAAAATAATGAAATTATCACTAAAATAAAAAATATTAATATAAAAAATCATAACATAATCTTCAAATTAATAATAATTAATATGTTTATAAAATTAATAATGAAGTTATGTAATAATAGTATAAACTTTAAAATATTTATTAAAAACACAAAAAAAAATTATAATAGATTTAATAATATTCATATTATTAATAGTTTTAAATTTTTACCAAATTCATCACGAAATTATGTATTAACAATATAAATTATGATTTTCTAGACCATTAGATGGCCAGAACCTTCTACCATTCGATGAAGATCCCTAGCCTCTTGAAACAAATTTAGTACATTGTCTTGACCCTCCCTCTTATTATTCCAAGTGTATTTTATGTCATGACTAGTCAATAGCTTGTAACCAATTTTTCTCAATAGGTCTTTGTTCCTTGCTAGCACTGAATTACTAATTTGTTTTCCGCCAATCTTGTCTTCCTTAATAAAATCTTAATTCATATCTTCTATATACACCCAAGGTCTTGAAATTTGATTAGCCAAAGGAGGAGGGATATGTTCCACTGATTCATATCTATTTTCCACCATTCTTTTCTTTTTATTGTCTAACTCACCATAAATGGGAGATATGTTCCATTGAGGCTTTCCCTCTTCTACTTCTACTAAGATGAATCTTGGATTTGCAAATTTGATTTTTAAATTGACCTCCCCATTCCATAACACTATGAGCCCCCCAGCTAATCCTTCTACATCTGTACCCCAACAATCATAGTCTTTGAGCCAATAAAGTTTCCTTTTACAAAAAAGAACTAAATTTTTTGTTCCAAAAGAAATATAATACCTGGCTTTGTTTCAAAACAGACTCTTTTCAAGGCTTGAATTTTTAAGGGAGAGCCTAACCCTTAACAATTCCAACTTAACACTATCATTTCCACTTGGGGAGCTGAGAAAAGGAAGCCACCCACACCATTTCTAGAGAAGACAGATCCACACAACATAACATATTGAGAAGCTTTAAAAACTTCAAGAGCCCTAGGTCCACTCCCCTTTTCCTAAATATAAGAACATCTAATTCTCCCTTCACAGATTTTTCCAACATATTAAATGTTTTGTTTCTCCTTTTATTCCATTTTCTTTTAGTTTTTTTTCCTTTTTAACTCTATCTTTTTTTTTTTTGCAATTTTTGAACTTATTTTTTTTTTGTTCCTCCTTTTTCTTTTTCTTTGTTTCTACCATTTAAATAATTTTGAACACTTTTTTATCTCTCCACATCCTTGTATTTAGACAATTGAAAAAATTACATCTCTTATGCTTAAATAAAAAAGATTCAACAAAAATAAACTTCAAAATATTTTTATATACCTCCATTTGTGCAATTGAACCATTGCCTCTCTTCATGAAGATTCTAATTGTTTGCATATCATTTTTTGCTACACCTCTAGGACTCTCTACGGTCTCTTCCAATATTTGTAGTGAGGTCTCCATGTCATCTTCAGAATAAACTGTATCTTTATCCATTTGCCTCAGATGTCTCCTTGGTGATCTGTTTTCAGCCATCGATTGTGTATCAGGTACAAACTCCTCTTCATTCTCCTATAAAATCCAACTTTCCTTCCATCTCTTTTCCTTCTCCACACTCTCCTCATTTCTTGAGTCCGATTGATACACCTACTTCCTTTCTGTATTTACCCAGATCCGATTCCAAACTGTAATGTTTTTCTCGTATTCCTTTTCACTTGATCACTAGTACATAGATTTTCTTTTCTTTTTTTCTTTTTTTTGTCGGCCTAGTACCTCGATTTTTTGAACTAAGAAGATTTACAAATTCTAAGGGCACTACATGCCCAGTCTCGTCAACAGCTCTACTGATAGCCAACTCACTTCTCTCTACTGGATCCACGATTTTGCCTTGATTCTCACACAATATGATGTTTAAAGTTTGAGTTTGATCCACCTCAACTCCTTAAAACTTCCTTAACCTTCCCTCTTGTCACTAGGTCTAAGATTTTTGCTGATCGACTTTATAGGTGAAAAGACCACCTCGAAGTTCATTTCGAAAGGGAAAACTAGTTGAACCAAACTAGTTAGAGGGTTTGCTTCCTCGGTGAATAGCCTTCGGCGAGCTTGTAGAACCTCATCTCCGATGGGGATCATCTCACTGCTTTTTAACAACCAAGCATCCTGAATGCCTTGTCTGGATGACGATGATGCTTGGTACACTTGGAGAATTGGATTGTTCATCTAATCATTGTCTACCTCTTGAACCCAAGCATCTCTGAAGGTCATCACCATCTCCTCCACATTTAGAAACTTTTGGCTCCCCGAATATGGTCCAACTTGTAGCCATGGACCATAACCTTTTGTATTAGCTCCTATGGCAAATTTTTTATTTTCTAGCATATTAATGACTTGCCCTAGCAGATCTTCACCCCAAAACTGTTCACAATTTTGATGTCGATGGCCAATCCTTCCACATTTCACACAGAAAAGTGGGAAGTCTTTTGTACTGTATTGCATACCTTTTGTCCTGACCATTTGCTGATTTCTGGTGAACAACACATACCAAAGGTTTAAAAATATTAATGAAGACTCTTACCTAAAGAAACAAACCTGCTAGTAGCACATTTCCTGCATCTCCTGGTCGGTACTCCTTAATAGCAATGACCTTTCCAATTTGCTTCCCCAACGGCTTTTATCATGCATTCCATCAGCAGGTCCAAGATTCTAACCTACAACTTCATCTTATTTGTAAACATCTTCTGGAGGTTTAATTCTGGTTCCCACTCTTTTAGCAACATTGGATATTCCCTAATAGGCCAAGGCTCTCTATTGAGAAACATCATCTTACCCTCTAACGACTTAAACCTGAAACAAAGAATACCCCTCTCAGCATTTTCACCTTGTATCCCCTTTCGATCTGCATTAGATTTTTGGCTCTTTCTAAAACCCCTTTTGTATTCATTTTTTTTATCTGGTAGGATTCTTCCAAAGACACTTTCCTTGCATTTTGTTTTTTCCACATCCTCTTCTCTAATCCTTCCTTGTCCCACCCTTCTCCTTCTTTTGGTAAATTGGCATTCTCTTACTCAGAACTTGCTGACGATATGGCTTAAGAGTATGAACGATTTAGGCTAATATCTTCCACTAGAAACTTGATTTTTCTTCTCCGTATAATGCTGCTCCTCATTGAGCACCTCTCGCTCCTTATTGAGAGTTTGTGCGTCAAGCCACCTTATACTTTGGGGTAGTGACAGTTAGCTCACTGAACTTTCATTGGTAACAAAGAGAAGAAAATATCAAAATAAGGAAAATAGACTTGCTAAAGCATGACATTTATTGTTGTATTTTTAGTTTTATTTGCAATTTTTTGTTGTTTTGTATTTTGTTTTTCTTTTTGGCCTTTTCTCGTCTTTTGTTGTATTTCCCGATTTATCTTCAATTTTTATTTTTCATCGTATTATATCAATTTTCTCTCAAATAATATCATAAAATGATATAAGGGTAATTTGGAGTTTTAGAAATGTTAAAACTCACACGTCACTAGGGGTGTTCAGATTCAGATGATAAACCAAAAACTGATCCAAACCAAACCGAATAAGTTACTTCCATTTGGTGAATTCGGACGTCAGTTTGGTTCGATTCTTTTTTTGTTTGTTTTAAAAACTCACTTTTCGGTTTTGGTTCGGTTTGGTTGAGATTTTCAACTAAATCGAACCGAAAACTGAACTAGTGGTTGAATCTAATTAAGTCTATTAAATATATAATATTTTATTTAAAACTTTATACTTATTAATTAATAATTATTATCTTTTCCAATGGCCATTTCACGATTCCCCATTGTGCTTTACAGTTTTGGCCTATTCTAGCTTTTAATTAATAATAGTTAATTAATTGTCTAAATACTCTAATCAACTAACGTATTAAAACTTAGACTAATTATTAATTATTCATTAATTGTTTGTAAAGAATGGGCTTAGACTAATTATTCTCTTAAAAGGGAAAATTCCTAATTAGTACCCTGTACTTTGGGCCTAGTGCCACTTTGGTCCTCGAACTATAAATTGTGACAATTTAGTACTTGAAATTTCAAATTGTGTTAATTCAATACCTACTGTCTGTTAACCAACTGTTAAATGCCTTTGAAAAAGACACAAATGCCCTTTGAGTGTCATCTAATTTTCGTTATCAACCATTCAAACATTGACAAAAAATTAACAGTCCTAAATCCTTGTCTCTTTTATTCAAGAAAGTTGGGGTCCAAAATGCCCACTAAGAAACTAAGACGTGCCCCAAAGGGCATTTGTGTCTTTTCAAATGCCATTTAATGGCTGGTTAACAACTAATTAACGATAGTTACTAAATTGACACATTTTGAAAGTTCAGGTATTGAATTGTTGCATTTTAAAGTTCGGGGATCAAAGTGGCACTAGGTCCAATAAGGAATTTTCCCTTATTAAAACATATACTAAAGTCTAATAATTAATTATTCATTAATTATTAAAACCGAATGAACTGAATTCGGTTTGGATCAGTTCGGATCTAAACTATAATTCGGTTCGATTCAGTTGGAAGAAATGGTCAAAGCAAATAGTCGATTAGGTCATCGATTCTAACCAATTTGGGGTACTTATGTACTGCGGTTCACGTTTGCAAGCATTTATTTAACATATAAAAAAGTAATGATTATCAAATAAAAATATATTTTATGACATTTTTGTACTCTGAAAAAATAGCATTACTTACTTATTTTACTTATTTTTTGAATACAGTTTTGTATTTTTTTAATAATCAATTTTTTAACCAAAATTAAGGCATTACATTTAATAACGGACACTTAGAAACGATTTCAAATAAAAAAGATGAATGCAAAAACGATTTAAAATATAAATCTTGTTTGTATTCATGAACCGAAAAGAGGATAGATATGTATTGTACATATTTGCGTTTGCATTGCAAGCAAACGCAGCCTAACGAAATGCTAAGTGTGGGAGCAAAGTGCTCGAATATAATAGTGAAGGGTGGGTATATGTCAATTTATTAGCTTTGCCTTTTCGTTTAGGGTTTGAATCGTTCGATAAACACAAAGAAGAAAAGGACTGAAATCACACATTTCGCAGGTATTTATTCTGTTGCTGTTGTTATTTTTCTGTTCTTTGGCACAGAAAGGGCACTGTTTTTCTTGAAAACAAGTCTCTCTCTCTCTAAGGTGCTCGTCTAATACTCTCTCTAGCTGCCAATGGCGAAGGCTCTGCCTTAACTTTCTCCCTCCCAGGTGGCCGAGCACAGGGTCTCTGCATAGAGCCACGGCCTTCCTGTTCGCAGTGGTTTTAGGTGTTGCCTATATTGCTGCTGATGGCGAAGACGGCAATAGGGTGCGAGCCGACAGTTGGTTCACTGGCACCGTCGAAGAAAAGAGAGTACAAGGTGACCAATAGAATCCAGGAGGGAAAGCGCCCTCTTTATGCTGTTGCCTTCAATTTCATTGACGCCCGTTACTACAACGTCTTCGCAACTGTCGGCGGTAATCGGGTAAACGTCCTCTCTTTTCTCCATTTCAGCTTTTGAATAAATATTTCATGAAATTTTTAGAGAACGTTTTTCTTTGTGGTTGATAATATTGTTGTGGAAATCTTAAATTATTCTTTGCATTGTGGCTTAGCTGCAGTAATTTTCTGAAATCAAGATTTGAAACTAAAATAGAAGCAAAACTTTGGCGCCAATTTTTGACATTAGATCGATGGAGGGTATCTAAAAGAATATACCTTGGTGTTTCGACAAAATGGAAGGATTCCGGCATGGTTGTTTTTAAAATTTTATTTTGTATTTTAATTTACATTTATAACATTTTCTGCCTAAATGAAATAATGTTCTACTTAATTTACATATATTCTAGTATATTTTTCAATATGAACTAATATATAAATTTTTTCAAATAAATATTTTTCATCATGTAGATTATTTTTTGGAACTAAATGGCTTGTAAGTGAGAGTGGATAAAAAATTGATTGATCTATTTTTTATTGTATTGGTAATTTTTGCTTTATTTATTTTTATTTAAAGAAAATCATAACTATTATTTTTAGTTTCTAACATGGGGGGTTCCACTGCCACATGTCATGCGTTACGTTAAGACACAGAGTAGCATATTGGGATTATAGTATTTTTAATAAGAGAGAATGAAAAACATATTTTTGGGTTAAGGGAGATTTTTGAATTAAGTTGCTTTCTTTTATTCATAACCACCTAAATAATCAAGCTTTCTTGAATTTATGAGAATATTTTTAGCACATTATAATTAATACCTTTTGCAGTTTTTATTTGTTTTCAATTTTGATGGTGTCTAGATGAGGTGTGAGCCTTACCAATTTGAGGCAGTGAGGTGTATGCCTCATCAAACTTAAGGCAGTAGCCTCTTGTCATAGCCACAAGGCGGTTGAGGCAAGGTGGTTTGGCTTTGCCTTGCTTCGCCACCCTTTAAAACAATGCTTCTACCTATGTAAGAAAACTAAAAAGGTGGCACTCTCCAAATCAGCAAAAAGCTGCCTTGATCATTGACCATGTCAAGGTTTCTAAATACTAAAGACATAGTTGAGGTGGTTGGGCATCAATAGCATCATCTGATCCTCAAAGTTTTAATAATTAATTAGTAGAGTTTGTAAGAAAAATAGATAAAGGAATCTAGTAATGTGTACTATTTTTTTTCCTTAATAGAACATGATAATAATTAAAGGCAGTAAAAATTTAGTCACTTAGTTCAGTTAGTGGAACAGTGGTTTTGGTGAGAATTCGGAGAAACTCTATGTGATTGTGCTACAAACTTAGAATTTTAGAATATATATCACAACATATGTCGCTTCAGGAAAAGAAAAAAAAACTCACATGATTTAATCTCAATTTACATTATTAAGTGAAGAAAATAGCAATTATGTATAATCTTTTAGAAAGCATGAACAGTAGCTCCTACAATGTTCACTTGTTTGCTCATTTTCTTAATTTGATATCTAAAAGATTTTAGTTTTCCAGGTGACAGTTTACCAATGTCTTGAAGGAGGTGTCATTGCTGCATTGCAGTCTTATGTTGATGAAGATGTAAGAATTATGGATTTTGTCAAGTCTACAACTATTCTTGTCATCGATTCCAAGACTGGCACTTTTTTGTCATTATTGTATTTTTTTTAAAGAATATTTGGAATTGTAATGTGCTTTATAGTTCAGAAGGATGAGTCATTCTACACCTTGAGTTGGGCATGTAATATTGATGGAACCCCATTCTTAGTTGCTGGTGGAATCAATGGTATAATCCGTGTTATTGATGCTGGCAGTGAAAAGATCTATAAGGTATTCTATATTATATTCTACCTCAGAGGCAATTTTATGGGGCAGACCTACATATTTTTCATTTTCTTTTGATAATCCCAAAAGTTTTCATATAATTACTTTCTTCAAGAAAAATATTTTGTGTTTCATTTGACCTCCACCCTAAAATGTTAGTGTATGTATTTTGCAAAATAATATATGAGACTCTCTCTCTCTCTCTCTCTCCCTCCCTCCCTCCCTCCCTAATGTTGGAATTTTATTTTTTTTCCACTTCTTAGAACATACCCCGACAACATAATAGATCTATTAGCAACTTTATAGGAAATAGAGTTGAAACAGAAATTCTGAAGAGACACTTGTAAACATGCAGAGTTTTGTTGGCCATGGGGACTCTATAAATGAAATCAGGACACAGGCATTAAAGCCCTCACTTGTGGTTTCTGCAAGCAAGGTAAGCAAATACATCCATCTTAACTGTAAGGTTTATGCTTTGTTTACTTATATCTGAATATTTAGTTTGGTATTGATACAGGATGAGTCTGTGAGACTATGGAATGTACATACAGGAATATGCATCTTGATTTTTGCTGGAGCTGGAGGTCATCGCAATGAAGTCTTGAGTGTGGTAAGTGAATAGAATGCACTCATTTTGTTCCTCATTTCCTTTTAGTTTCTTTCATCTACCATGTTCAGATATTTTGCCTATGCTTAGTTGCCAACTATCTGAGGATAAAATTTGGTGTTTTAGGACTTTCATCCTTCAGACATATACCGCATTGCAAGTTGTGGCATGGATAATACTGTTAAGATTTGGTCCATGAAAGGTATGCCAACTTGCTTGTTCTTGTTGCATTTTGGAGGTGATGTTTTTGTGTCAGTGATGGAAAGCTAAGTTTTTCTATGTGGGCCACACAACTTCTCAATCAATAGGCTGCATTATTGAGACCAGTTGTGTCATCATTTTTGTCTAGTGCTTTGGCTTTTTACTTGCATGGTATTTTTTAAGCCATTCAAGTGTGTCTGATGAATGTAGGACTGAGATTATTTATCACATGGTTTTTGGGTTCTCTCATCTGAGAGATGGTCTTCCTGTTTAGTGGTGAAGTAACTATTCCATGTACATGTAATATTATCAAGTAGAAAATCCTTTCTCTTATGTCCATATTCTTACGTCGTGCAGCTTGTTGCAGAGTTTTGGACGTATGTAGAGAAATCTTTTACATGGACTGACCTTCCTTCAAAATTCCCCACAAAATATGTGCAATTCCCTGTGAGTAGTAATGAATTATTGTGTTACATATGAGTTGTGTTGTTCTCACCATAATGGAGGTGTCTCCTATTGTTTCAGGTGTTCATAGCTTCAGTTCATTCCAACTATGTTGACTGTAATAGGTGGCTTGGTGACTTTATCTTATCAAAGGTGATTTCTTGCTTAGTCCATCATCAGCTGTAAACCGGCTTGAAAATTCTGATAATACCAAATCATATTACCTCATCAATTCAGAGCAAGATGTTTCATCTAATTTATTTTGTTTGAAGATACACATACAATGCCCATTATGCAAAATTATTCCTCACATTCTATTGTGGTTAAGCTAACTAGAGCATGTCTTGATCCACAACACACCCAGCTTGTGAATTGGGATTTTGTAACAGTTCCGTCAGCTAAGGCCATGATTTTAAATCTTGCTTGTCATCTTGGAGAAGTTATGTATATTTTGTTTAGCCTCAGTGGATTTTGCCGTACACTGCAGAGTGTTGATAATGAAATTGTGTTGTGGGAGCCAAAAACCAAGGAACAGACACCTGGGGAGGTAAGGATGTCTTAGCTTTCTCTGTTTGCTTTGGAAAGAAAGACTTTTGTAGGTCTGTGATGTACCTCAGTTTACATCAGACATCTATATTGCGACTTGCTTCATATGCTTGTTATGGCTACATAATTGAATGTTAAATGGAGGATCAGACTCATTTGTACTTTTTGTTTGTCTTTTCATAAATTTGGTTATGTTTTCTGTTTATAGGGTGCAATTGACATCCTTCAAAAGTACCCTGTCCCGGAGTGTGATATTTGGTTCATTAAATTCTCCTGTGACTTTCATTATAATGCAGCAGCAATAGGTAAGGCTTAACTGAATGTACAATACCATTTATATTAAACTTAAAATATTGTTTTTATTATTGCTTGGATAAAGCTTTCTTGAGTGAAGGTGAATGCTTATTTTTTAATGAGGTGTGGTTCACAATTCAAAATGTATGTTTGAATCAAAACATCTCTAATAATTCTGATCTTTTCCCTGAATTCCACTTTGGCTAGAATCATGATTGAATCCCTTGGGATCCTACTTATCAATGAACCATATGATGAATCCTACAACTCACGGGATTTTTGGAACTAGAAAATACAGGATGCTGCTTTGTACTCAATTTTCATCATTTGTGTGTATACATATATATTTGCTTCTTTTTTGTTTTTATATTTTAAATAAATATGCCCTTTTGGCATCTAATCACTTCTAATTAGACTCAACTGAAAACCAATTAAGAACTTGATATTTTGGGTGCTTTCATTTCTAAATCCTACTACCAAAAAAAATCTTCATATCTTATTCATTACTTTATGAATTTCAATTCTATTTGTTGTTACTGTTTTGTTCTTCAAAGGAGGACTATATGCATGTAAAGAACAAAGGTTGAAGATTTTGTATGGTTCAATTTTTTTTTTTTGTGAGTTTTAGGTCAGAAAATCACTTCTCTATCCCCTTTTTGCATATCGCTCTCTTGTATCTTCTATATCTAGGTGGAAAAATTATTAGGGGGCCATGATTTTTTTTTAACTCATTACTAGTATATTTTTTGTCATATTTTAAAGCTTAGTTTGGTTTTGGGCATTATATTTTTTGTCATGTGTATGTGAGCTGCTGTGGATAATGAGAGACCACGGAATGTCTTTGTAATGGTATTGCTCAAATGTGGAGAGGCCGGTATTAATGGTGTTTTGATAAGTGGTTGGTGCATGGGTTTGTAGGATACATGGCTTTAGGGTTGCTTTTGTTATGGTCAAGTCAAGGGTTGGTTTATAGTTTGTTGTGTAGTACGGGGTTGGCTACATGAATCCTTTTCTGTCATTCTACTCTATTTAGTGTCATGTCCATTGTTAAATTGTGAACCCTTAAATCATTTCTCACTTATTTTTTTATCAATAACACACTTCACTAATTTCATTAAAACTTTTAAATGATAATTACAAAGAGGAAAACAAACTTTCTTATCTTCCAGTTATACCATGAGCCTCGAAAGAAGGAAAAAGAAAGAGAGAAAGATAAGGAGAAATAGAAAAATAATTACAACTGTGCCTAGAACATTGACTTCCTCTCCACCCCTTGTTTAGCTAACCCATCAGCAAAAGAATTAGCTGATCTTTTAACCCAACTAATCTTAACCTCTATTTCCCGAGCCAACCATCTAAATTTCCTCATATTACTGTAATTCCATAAGCTACTGTAGTCTTTATTTAGCCATCCAACCACCACCTCCGAGTCCCCTTCAATTACAAGTTTTTTGATATTCATCTCCTTGGCTTTTTGAATTCCTTCTATAACCGCATCGATCTTGGCTTGGAGAGAGTCACCCACTCCAATTGGGCCTGAGAACATGGTAGAAACGACCCCATTCTCATCCCTGAAGACACCTCCAACCCTTGATTGTCTAGGATTCCCTCTACAACTCCCATCAAAGTTTAGTTTTATGAAACCCACAAGGGGGGACTCCAAGACACATTCATCACTGTTTTGGTCTGGGTGCTGCTAGCAATCTCACCCCAATTCCTCAACATGTTATCCATTGTATAATTTGTGAATAGCTCTAATGATTTCATCTATTGTACCACCCTTATAAGGATCAAAGCCCTCAACTCCTTAGTGCTTTTCTCTACTTCCGAGAAAATCCTAGCATTTCTTTCTTCCCATAAGGACCAACAAACCACAACCCTTAGTCCTCTCCACATAATCCTGCCCCTTTTCATGTGCCATCGGAAAAAAGGAGAAAATAGATTTTGCATGTTTGATGGAGGGTTGCAGCTACTCCCAAATAGGGAAAGAGCCCACTCCCAAATAGACATTGCATATTGGCAAGACACCAGTAGGTGAAAACCGGTCTCCCCTTCAGCTTTGCAAAGAACACACCAGTGAGGGGATAGGCAAGTATTGGGTTTCTACTTTTGGAGCATATCACCAGTGTTGAATCTTTCCAGAAAGGCTTCCCAGCAAAAACTACTAACCCTAGGAGGGATTGGTCTGCACCAAACCTCATGAGCAGGAAAAGGGAGGGTTACAGGACTAGTGGACTGGCTTAAGATTTTGAAAAAAGAGGCACAGGAGAAAGAACCAGTGGGGGTAGGAGTCCAAATTCTAGAGTCCACCTTAGCAGGGTCTAAGAAAACATTATCAAGAAGTTGAAGAAGACTCGAAACACTATCAAGGCCTGAGTCTCTCACAGCTTTTCTCAAGCCCAATTTCCACCCAAACCCAGAAGTGGAAGAGGGGGATATGAAGTATGAAACTGGCTCTTTTTTAAGGTTAGAGAGTGCATACAAAGAAGGAAACTGGTCTTTTAAAGGAGCATCCCCCACCCATGTTTTTCCCAGAATTTTATAGCATTACCTGAGTTCAAGTCATACCTGATAAAAGGGGAGAAAACTGGTAACAATTCATGAATGGCTTTCCAAGGTGAAACACATGTAGTCCTAGCTCGGATTCCAGCATCCCATCCATTTAGCTCCAGCCCGTGTATGCTGACCACTATCTTGGCCCATAACTTCTCCTTCTCTTGTGGGAATCTCCACAACCATTTCCCTAGAAGAGCCAAATTCCTGTCTCTAATGTTCCCGAGCCCCAAACCACCACTATTTTTGCTCCTAGTCACCACTTCCCAGGCTACTCTATGATCCCTTTTCTCCCCAAAGGAAGTCTTTCATCATCTTTTCCAATCTATTGGCAACCTTTACCGGGATCTTGAACACTGAAAGGAAATAAATAGGTAAATTTGCTAGAGTAGCCTATTAGTGTTATCCTCCCACCCATAGAAGGTTAATTCCTTTTCCAAGAGACAAGTTTCTTTTCAAAGCTTTCCACCACCGGATTCCAGAAGCTCTCTCTCTTTGGGCTATCGCCCAACGATGACCCCAAATAATTCAAAGGCCACTCTGAGACTTCACACCCAAGCACTTCTACAATCTCCCTGGCCTCACCTTCCTCCATATTCACACCAACTACACAACTTTTCTCAAAGTTCACCTTCATATTTGACATTTGTTCAAAGAGTTGTATCACCAATTTCAAATTCCTTATATACCTCATATTTCCCCCTTCACAGAACATAATCGTGTCATCTGCAAACTGTAGATGGGTGAGGGGGGTATCCTCCCTTCCAACTCTCCAACCTTTAATAAGGCCCCTAGAATCTGCTATGTAAATCAGTTTCCCAGAACATCAACAATCAGTGTGTACAGGAAGGGAGACAAGGGGTCTCCTTGTCTTACACCCCTAATGGTCGGGAAGAAGTCAACCACTGTCCCATTCACTAGTACCGAGTAATGGCCATTACGAACACACCCCATAATCCATTTTCACCATCTAGCCCTAAATCCAAATTTGGTCATAACTTTCCTCAAAAATTCCCATTCCACCAAACCATAGGTTTTTTCTAGATCCAATTTATAGACCAATCCTTTCTTCCCCCCTTTTCTGAAATGCTCCACACTCATTAGCAATCAGAATTTGATCTTTTATTTGTCTTCCACTCACAAAAGCTCCTTGATTTGGTGAGATGATAGTTGGTAATACTTCCTTCAACCTTAGAGACAAAACCTCTGCAAGGATCTTATACAAGCTATTCACCAAGCTAATTGGCTTGAAATCCTACGGATGCAATGCATCTTTCTTTTTTGGGATCAAGGCTAGAAAGGTGGAATTCACACTTGGGTTAACCACTCCTCTCCTATGAAATTCCTCAAAAACCAATAAATGGTCATCTTTCACCGTATCCCAATAGTCTTGGTAGAAAGCCATTGTGAAACCATCCGGTCCTGGAGCTTTTGTTCTATCCATAGAGAAAACAACCACCTTAATCTCTTCTAAATCAAACCTTCTCTCCAGCATTCTCTTGCTATCATCTCCTATATCTGGCCATTCAAATCCTTCTAACCATACCTCCCTACTTACAGGCCTTCTTAGAATTGATTTGAAATGTCCCACAAAGGCTCCTACAATTTCATCTTGTCGTGTTAACTCAACTCCATCTACCTCCAATTTGGAGACAGAGTTTCTCCTTCTCCTCCCATTTGCTAGAGAATGAAAGAATCTGGTATTTCTATCTCCCTCTTGTAGCCATTTACATCTTGATTTTTGCCTCTAGCTAATTTCCTCATTATGTAGGCAGTCCTCAAGTTGGCTTCTCAACCCTCTTCTTTGTTCCTTGTCTGCCTCTCTAAAGTCTCCCGTTTCTTCTTTCAAGTCAAGGCTCTCAATCTTGTCCATCAAGGTTCTCTTCCTTTCTTCAAGCCTTCCAAACTCCAATTGGCTCCACTCCTTGATCTTTACTTTCAAGAATTGTAACTTCCTATGGAACCTCATTCCTTCCCACTCCACCAATGGGTTGCACTCGTGCCACCACTCCCTTACTCTTTTAGTGACCTAGGGTGGAGCAACCACATATTCTCAAACCTAAAGGGGGCAGGTCCACCATTCCTCCTTTCCTCCTTGCATATCACTATAGGCCAATGGTTGGAGGTCAATCTTGGAAGATCCCTAGAGTCCAGGTTTCCCCAATGTTCTTCCCAATTCAAAGTGAACAGAAGCCCATCCAACTTGGAGCAGGTGGGCCTCGATCGGAGATTTGACCAAGTGAATGTCTTATGGGCTAATGGTATCTCTTTGAGTGCAAAAGCATCCACAAACCTGTTGAAGTTCCTCATACTAGTTGTCACCCTCTGATTAGTATTGTTAATTTCTTCCGTGAATCTCACCACATTGAAATCCCCACCCATGCACCACGGCCTATCCCAAAGGCCCCTAATATTAGCCAGTTCCTCCCATAACTCATTTTGTTCTCTGTAATCATTTGGCCCATAAACATTTGTGAGCACCCACACAAAATCATCCTCTTGTTGCTTGAACTTCACTGAGATTGAGTATTTTCCAATCAGTTCCCCTTGGCCATCCACCACATCCTTCTTCCACATTGTCACAATCCCCCCTGAAGCACCCCAAGAGGGAGCAGCCACCCAACTAATCCTCCTGGCTTTCCAAATGCTTCTTGCCCATCTATTATTAAACTCCATTCTATTGGATTCCTGCAGTAATACAATGTCTAGGTCATACTTCTTTATTACCTCTTTGATCGTTGCTCTTTTCCTCGCACTTCCAATACCCCTCACATTCCAACTAAGAATATTCATAAACACTTCTTTAGATCCCTTCTTCAAAAACCACTACTTCCCCCCTTTCCTTCCATCTCCTTTTACCCCAAACTTTTTATCACCTTCAACATCTCTTTTCAGCCTTTCAACTTCACCCAGTTTTATTTTCTTTATTTTAATTTCCTTCTTCTCCTTCTGCAGGCCACCTTTCAAAACATTCAAATCTTCCATTATGCATCCCAACTTCCCCACGAATTCTGCTATTAGGTCCTCCCTATTGGATTCCTCCATGCTTGTCGTCTCTAGATTTTCGCCTCCATTTCTCCCCTCCTCTCCCTCTTCCCTTCCATCTGATCCCTCCCCTCTTCTCTCCTCTATATTCTTCATCCATCTCAAATCTTGTTCAACTTCCTTAAAGATTTTTTCAATAATTTCCCAGACTTTCTCATTCCTATACCATCCTTCCAGCATCTCCCCATAGTCCTCCCCTCTCCTTTCCATACTTGTTAAATCCCCACCACCTTGGTTGTGGAAGCACATGCAAGGGCTGTTGAGCTTGGGACAGGAATGGAATCTGGAACATAGGACACAGAGAACACATTAGTAGCACAAACTGAATTCAACCTGGGTTTGACTGGAAGGATGAATAGGGATGCGAAATGTTGTTACCGTCCTCCCATTCTTGTTCAGAGGGTTGGTCAATGACTGTCTTCCTGAGTTGGTTGCTAAACCTTTCTGTCCTTTGGGCAATTTGGCAATCTGTCCTCTCTACCCATTGTTTATCCCTTATTGTTGTATTCCTGCTTTGCCTCAGGTTCTCCAAGTTTACCCCTTTTTTTGCATCTTGCACAATCAGAAGCCTTGGGAGCGCAACAATCTGACTAATGTCTTCAGTCCCATTTACATCACAAGACTTGACTCTTCCTCCATCAACTATCAGATTCCTTTGGCCGTCTGGGTTCAATCTCCGTTCCTCCTCTATGTCCTGGAATCAAGTCACCTATATCGCACTCACCATCATCATTCATGCTTCCAATGCTGTTATCCTCATCCACAGTCTTTTAGCTCTTCGGTGTTTACTCCACAGTGCACCCAGCCTTCGTCCAATTCCTCCCTTTGTTCAGTTCTCTCCCTTGCATACTTGGGATTCGGTTTCTCTGAGGAACGATGCAAAGAACACGAGTCTTCATAGTTCCGCCTCTGCGTTTTTTCTCCTTTCTGAAGTCGCCGTCTTGGTAGAAAATAGACCATGAGTTTTGTCTACAATCGGCCCAGTGACCATCTGTTATGGATGCCTTCCTCGGGAAGACGTACCATCGCCGCCGGCAGCAACAGGC